TGTGTGTGTGTGTGTGTGTGTGTGTGTGTGTTTGTGTATGTCTCAGGTGCTTCATGAATTCCAGCTAAGCACTCTACCATGGAACCACATTCCTGGCCCTGCTGTGAAATTTCATCCCTGCCCTTTATTTTGAATTAATTTACAATTTCACACATATTATAGGCATGCTGACCACTCTCACCCACCACCTTCCTGCCACCACACCTACCCTCCATACTCCCCACAAATCTCTCTCTCTTCTTTTTTAACTAACATGCTGGGAGATTGAAATCTGAACCTTGTACATGCTAGGCAATCACTCTACCCCTGAGCTACATTCTGTACATACCATTTTTTTTTTTTTAGTTAATTCTTAAGAAACCAAAACAAACTAAACCCAGAGTTCCCCTGGGGTACCTGGGCCCACAGCTCCCCCACCTGTCATTGCAGCAGCCTTGGCTAGCTTAGGAGGAGCCTGCATCCTTGCAGTGGGCTGAGATGTAGGCACAGCTAAGGTTGCTTCTGTTTTGTCTTGAAGGGGACTATTTATTTCCTTCTAGCTCTTCTGTCTTTTTCCTTTTTTTTTTTTTGTATTTTTTTAATGAATGTACAGTTTCGGGCATATCCTAACTAATCTTCAACTCCCTCAGAGACCCAAGAAGGAAAATAACCTCATTCCTTCAACTTGGCCTCACCTGCTAAAGTGTCCATCTCCTCCTGATTGTGCCCTGAGCTGGAGGACATGCCTGCAGCTCTAGCCTAGGGGCATTAGGACACATATGTAAACAGCATGGGTTCACTTCTATCTGTGTTCAAGCAAATGGTTACTTGGTACACTCTAGTATAGTTTTGAATTAATTATATATCAGTATGTGAACATTTTAAATTTTAGGCTCTGCTCCCCTAAAAAAATTATTTTTGGATATTTTAAAGTTCTTCTTTGACAATTTCATATATTTTTTTTTTAAAAGATTTATTTATTTATTATGTGTACAGAAGAGGGTGCCAGATCTCATTACAGATGGTTGTGAGCCACCATGTGGTTGCTGGGAATTGAACTCAGGACCTCTGGAAGAGCAGTCGGTGCTCTTAACCTCTGAGCCATCTCTCCAGGCCCCGACAATTTCATATATTAAACAATGTATTTTGATCATATGCACCTAGCTGCTTTTCTCCTGATGACAAATTTTACATTAAGTCATCGTATTAAGTCATCACATTGCTCTTTCAACTCATCACACATGATTAAGAGCATCCATGTAGCAGCTTGAATGCTTGATGCTAGGGTATTTGTCTCCTTGACAGCTGTCAGTCTGGATTTAGTCATTATGGACAAACTTGTTTCAGTTGTTTCCGTAGATTTCCCCAGTCATGAACTTGACTACCCCCTTGCTCATATAATCCCCTTTCCCTCTCTTCATCTGGACTCTGAGAGCTCAGCTGGGTGCTTAGCTGTGGATCTCTGCATCTGCTTCTATCAGTTACTGGATAAACTTGTAGATTCCTGGAATTTCCCTAGCACCAGGTTTCTCCCTAACCCCATAATGGCTTCCTCTATCAAGATATCTCTTTCATTGCTTTCCCACTCCATCTCTCCCACAGCTTGACCATCCCATTCACTTCTGGTTCTGGTTACCTGTCCCCTCCCTCTATGACCTCCCTTCCTCAAGTTTACCCAGGAGATCTCATCTATTTCCCCTTCCCAGGTTGATCCATGCATCCCTCTTAAGGTTCTCCTTGTTTCCTAGCTTCTCTGGAGCTGTGGGTTGTAGTCTGGTTATCCTTTGCTTTACATCTAGTATCCACTTATGAGTGAGTACATACCATGTTTGTCTTTCTGAATCTGAGTCACTAACTCAGGATGATATTTTCTAGTTCCATCCATTTGTCTGCAAATTTCATGGTGTCATTATTTTTTATCTCTGAGTAATACTCCATTGTGTAAATGTACCACATTTGCTTTATTCATTCTTCAGTTGAGGGGCATTTAGGTTGTTTCCAGGTTCTGGCTTTCACAAATAATGTTGCTGTAAAAATAGTTGAGCAAGTGTCCTTGTGGTATGACTGAGCATACCTTGGATATATACTAAGATTGATATAGCTGGGTCTTAAAGTAGATTGATTCCCAATTTTAAAGTAGATTGAGGGGACACAGAAGCTGTGACTGTGGTCTTACATGCCTGTTAGGAACTAGTCAGGGGTTATCTCAAGACTCCTGTGCAACAGGAAGGAAGTAGTCTCAGGGGTGCGGTGTGACTCCATTTGTCCTGTGGTTCATGCTTCCCTGGGCACCAGGATTCCTCATCATCAATGAGACAGATTCAAATAAGATGCTGGGACTTGAGCATGATGTTCCTGTGGACCCAATACATGTTAGTTAGATCATGGTCTGGCTGGCCTTTAAATATTATTATTTGCAAATTTCATACATGAATATAATGTTTTGATCAAGTCCACTACGTCCTCCCTGCCCTCCAATTCCTCCCCTGTGCTCCAGTACTTTTTCCTCCCAACTCCATGTGCTCCTTCATTTTTATAGTCTACCAAAGTGAATTCAGAGGCTGGTGGCTGTCCAAGAAGCTGAGAATGAGTGAGAGTTGTGGGCTCAGCACTAAAGAAGACATATAGACATCCCCTTCAAAGGCCCAGGCAACATTCTGGAAGAGGGTACAGAGAGCATGTAAGAGACAGAAGGTGGAGTCAAGGGCTGCCAAATGCCATTCTCTAGAATCCACACAACTATTGCAATCACTAACTCACAACAGCAGTTGTCTGAACTGGATCCATGTAAGACTTGCCCTATCAGTCAAGTAATGGGCAGGTGCTATCAGGGCCCAATCCATGACCTTGGAACTGCTGTTAAGAGATTATGAGAGAGGAAAGTCATTGTCCCTGGTTGGGTACTCACTGCTGAGTCCACCAGTTTCCAGTGAAGAGCACCAGCTCCAGGTCACACACACATGGATAAATTCAGTAGGTCACAAACCAAATAAACAGATGTGGGCATGGGTGAGATTCGTGGAGGGTAGGGAGTGGACAGAGGTGGTAGGAGATGGAAGAAGCTAAGGATCAGAGTGCGGTCAGTATGCACTTTAGACTTGTGGGAATTGGTTTTTTTTTTTTTGGTTTTTCGAGACAGGGTTTCTCTGTGTAGCTTTGCGCCTCTCCTGGAACTCACTTGGTAGACCAGGCTGGCCTCGAACTCACAGAGATCCGCCTG